TGTACATATAGAATTTATGAACGAGGCTATCATTAATGATTGTTTCAAATTAATACAAAATCAAAGATAATATAATAGAAACATGGTAATTATTTCACTCATTTTAAAATTGATATCACGTAAATGTGCAGTGCAATGCACTTTTTCGTTTCGTAAAAAAATCACGTATTTACAAAAATCTCACCGCATGTTTGACAAAATATATGTGAAAGCAGACTACACTCCAAAGAAGGCACCTTCCCAGCCACATGTCATGGACACGAATATGATGAATCCATGCTAGACACTACAAAGCCTCCACCTTAAGGACAACTCCAAATGAGGCCACTTCACATAAGAACAAATGTAGTTGAATACTTTTGTCCTTATAGAGCCGATCTTGTACACCTTGGGGCATGAATTTTAGCTCAAAGAACTGCAATGCTACTTATTATTCATGTCATTCTCTATCATTCTAGCTAGTATTACCTAATGTGTCTCAAGATTTTGACCGTTGTTATTCTAGATTCCTAGAGACGGTGATGGTCCTAATTCGGGCCAACATTTTCAAGAATATCAAATCTTGTAAAATACCAATTCGGTGATACCTAGAATAATTCGGTGTGGTTCGATCTCATATTGAATCATACTTGTTTGGTCTTTGGTCTAATAACTTTGGAATTTTGGTTCCGTGCTCAGCCATTCTTGGATCGGTGCTCACCTCTACTATTAGGCAATATAAGATACATCTTGGAGTATATTACCAAAGATCCATGGGCCCAAGAAAGTGTACTAAAGAAACAAGATCAAAGATGGGCGTTCACATTAAAGGATGGTGTGGGCGTAAATAGTGTCAAAAGAAGGGTGTGCACATTGAAGGCTGACTGTGCCGTCAGACCGACACTGCACCCTCGACATTCATTGTGCACGCCCATTTTCTGAGCATGTTTCTTTTATATATTTTCTTCAACCCAAGGGCTCGTGGTAATGTACTTCAAGATGTATTATGTTACATTTTTAAATAGATTGACCTTAATTTTTAGAGAATGCTAAAAAGACTAGAGCAACGATGGGAATTCAGGACCAACGTCACTTTGCTTCGCGCTTACACAAGCACCATCTTGATCGAGACACATTGCTCAAGATTGATCAAATAAGAGACACATCTCACCTTAAGCTATAGACACTCAAAAGACTTTCTTGTACTTTAAATGACTCTTTCCGAAATGTGGGAAGGGGGTTACTGTAACACCCCGGCCCCCAAGACCCGAGGTAGTTACTCCAGACCTCTAGTACTGTCCTCACAAACCGCCACTAGCCTTTTCCGCACACTTTGTTCTCACTCGTGCGCGCTCTGAGAAACTTCCCAGGGGGTTACCCATCCTAAGACTACTCCCGTGCAAGCATGCTTAACTTTGAAATTCTTGGTGATGAGCTCCCTTAAAAGGAGATGCATCTTGTTGGTATGAGTAGTACAATTAATCCGTTTGAATTAAATCTCAAGTATTACAGTTACATTATCGTAAACAAGAGACATATTTATGCTCTACTTTTTTCCTTGAAAACTACTACGTAACTCTTACTCATGTCTATATCTGTGTCATTTAATCCATCACATTTGGAATTGATATCAAGTTTAAAGGAACAATTGAAAAAGAATTTTTATGTCACAGTTATAGTTTTTTTAAAGAAGTGATAGTTGATAACAAGAAAATATGTAAAAAACATAGATAAACGAACAAGTGAAAAACTTTCAGATTTGTAGAGTTTAAACGAAGAAATTCTTAGTATTTTGGCATAGAAAAAACAAGGAAGTATATCTAATAAGAATGAGAAAGATGACACATTTGTACCTTAACTTGCGCAACAAACTGCTAGTTTACATATATTTACAAGGGAAAAGAAATGCACATGTAGTTAAACATTTTCAATTTCTATTACTCGTATATATGAAGGATGAAAAAATCACGTATTGTCCTATGTGTATTATTTCAATCTCAAATTAGACTAATTCCAGACCTGACTCACATTTAGCACACGACTATTAATTTTTGTCCCACTGGTGGATCTTCTTATTAAACTTTTAGTACTCAGAGCATCTTAAATGGTTGATTTGGAGGATTTACTTGAAATTTTAATGTTGGAGTATTGCTTTTTTTTTTGCTTAAGAAAGCTCATTAGTAAAAAAGAGCTACTAGCTTTGATGAAATAGAACTATTGAATACTATCCTCCGTTTCTAATTAATTGCAACACTAGGTTGGGCACAAGAATTAAGAAGAATGTCAAAAGTGAATTTTTCTCTATAATACCCTTGCTGGACCGAAATAGAGAAAGAGGAAAGAAAAGTGTACTTTAGTACTATGCAGAGGACGACAGTGACATAAAGTAATGCTCCACCAACTTGTTTTTCACATTATATCATCCAAATTTGAGAGGGAATCACAAAAAGTTAAAAACCAAAAAGCTTCCCTCGAATAATTTACAATACGTGACTTTATAACTAGTCAACCATATCATCATGTAGAACTACATCTCCAAAATCTTCTAGCACTACTTTCCCTGCATTTACAAGCTATTGCATTTAGAAGACAAAGGTGAGCAAAAATTAACAACAGCGTAGGACAAAAGTAGCTGCAGATTCGCATCATAATGGCTGAAGATATCACAGTTCCAGAACTTCTGCTGGAGGAGGAACTCATGTTTGGTGAGGCTGATTTTGATGTAGATGATGTCATCTTCTCTTCCTTCTTCTCTGAAAGTGAAAGTGAAGAAGATCAAGACTCAATAAATGCCGATTTTATTTATGCTACTGTAAGTGGGACATCAATTGGACGAAAAAAATAGAACTGCATAATAATCAAAGGAAACACATTGTTGAAAAGCTCCTGACACTTGCTGAAGGTAAAACATTACCTAAAGGAGTTGCTTCAAAAGTTGCAGCAGAGTTCAAAGTCCACAGAACAACTGTGTGGACACTTTGGTCTACTGCCAAAACACAGATGAGCAGTGGTTTAAAAATAAATGTAAAAAATAAGAAAAAGGGAAGGGTTGGAAGGAAAGCTAAGGTGTTTGATTTAGAAAGGCTTCACGTTGTGCCTTTGCAACAAAGGACAACAATCGGGTATGTATCTATAGCTCTCGGAATCAGTCACTCAAGTGTTTATAGAATGATGAAAACGGGGCAGATTAGAGCTCACACAAACAACATTAAGCCTAAGTTAACTCATGCACACATGATAAAAAGGCTACAACATGTCATGAACCAGATTTTGCCAAGGGAAGTTAACACAATTCCCAAGTTTAGTTCAATGTATAATATGGTTCATATTGATGAGAAATGGTTCATTGATCTTGAATGGCTTATCGCTCTTGCATCAAGGATGTGAGGAGGCGTATCAGGAACCACTAAAACCTATCCCCGATTCCATCACCGGGCCGCCGCGTCGAGCCTCAGTCGTTCTGCCTCGTATGATGCGTCGTCGAACTCTTTCCCGCTGCGGTTGCTACCACTTTATCAATTCAGGACCCAAAAGATAGATTAATTATCAATTCAGGACCCGAAAGATGAAACGTATCAGTATAGGACCCGAATGATGGAAAACTATCAATTTAGGACCTAACGTTTCATAGGTTTTGATTTATTTAATTCTTTATTAATTCCATTACTAATTTTTGATAAACTTTTCTTCACAAAAGTTTATTAGTTTAATACAACAACATCCAAGCCTTAGTCCCAAAAGATAAAAGTTTATTAGTTTAATAAAACCAAATAATACTTAAATTTTTTTAATAAAAAAATTATGACAACTTAGGTCCTAGATTAATAGTTTTCAATCATTCAGGTCGTAAATTGATAGTTTTTCATCATTCAGGTCCTATATCGATGCATTTTATCTTTCAGGTCCCGAATTGATAATTAATCTATTTTTCGGGTCCTGAATTGATAAAATTCCTTTCTTCTATGAGGAGAAATTGAGTTGTCCTTGTCGGAGAAGGAAAAGAGAACTTGCTGTCCACCCTTCCTCCTCTGCTTTGAGAAATGGTAGATGGAGAGAAGTTAAGAAGAAAGATGCGGTACTTTTTAGGAGATGAGGTAGGTAGAAGAAATAAAGAGAACCCGTGAGAAAACGAGTCTGAAAATTAAAGTGGGTGTATATTCATTAGGGGCATTTAAGGAACTCTACTTGTTTTCCTTACTAAAATTGGAAGTGTTGCAATTAATATGAAATTTCCAAAAATGACAAGTGTTGCAATTAATTGAGAATGAAGGAAGTATAATGTTATCAAGTTGTAGCTAACCATTAAAGTGTATTCATTAGTAATTTTCTTGAAGATGGTCATAAAAATAATTATCGAAGAATCCAGATAGTTTAGCGTATAAAATAAGGGAAAATAGCATTTAATAAATGGAAGTACGGAAGTCGTTGTCAAGGTTAAACATAATTACCGAAGAGGCCTTAATTTAATTTTTCCAAGGAAATTTGTATTTTAAACAAACCCGACAAACCCACTTGTTATATTACTTGATCTGTCCATAAGTACGGTTAGTTTTCGATTTTCATTGTTTGATAAAAAAAAATATGACACCCCATAGAACGATACGCGAAGATGTAAATTGTATTATAATCTCAATCTGACAGATAAAGACTGAACTGCCCAGTTGAGGTACGTCCACTGGTTAAACTAAGGTACATGTAAACTTTTTACAGTGACTAGTTCCACGGGTTTCACGGCCCCCTTACTCCAGAAACACAACTTTGACTTGGCCCTACGGATTACCTTACCCCATAAACTAAATTTTGACTTGGTCCTACGGGTTAGTATAAAAAGCTTTGACTCTACCCATTAAAGGGTTTTTTGAGGAACACAGTACCCCTCATTAATGCTAGTGAGATTCGAACACGAGACGTCTACTGTGCTGGTAACCTCACAACGGGCTAACTAGAGTGGAAGTTGTGCTTAAATTTTCATCGTTTGATTATTATATACTTCGTATATATTGCTTTGAAAGTTAGCTTAGCTTGGTTTGATGTTTCTGATGAAGCTGTGATGTGGAAAACGGTTTGTAATCAATGAGGTTTTGGACCATTGCGTTGAAGCAGGGATGAGTACTGCATGGCAATTTGACTTCCCAATTTATACTTTTTCTTTTGGGAAATTTCTTAGTTTTGATTGTCATTTTCACTTCTCACAACCCTAATCAATCTGTGTGCTCTCTTTTTTCTTGCATCACTTCCCATTTAAATCTGTGTGCTCTCTCTCTTATCTGTGTCCGTTTTTTGTCTTCCTGGGATAGACTCCAACTCACGTGAACGAACGTCACTGTAGTTACAGTTCTCATTGGGCATTCTATTTTATGGTATTCAAACCAGATTGCTATGGTGGTGTAACTTCAGATGATGTTTTAGCAGAAAGCTGCCTTTTTTTGGTTCCCCACTAGCTGAATTGGGGACAAACTACCATTGGAGCCCCATCAACATCTGCTGCATGCCTTTGGGCGTTTCTGACATTTATCTAAAGTTGCTGTCCAGTACACTTGTCTACTTTTGGACTCTTGTTTAGAGCACTGTTTCATCTGGTACACCTGGTTTATACCCATTGGTTCTGTCCTTGCCTGCCCAGGAATTAAGTTCAGATCTGGATTGAGGTAGATTTTTCTTATCTATGTTGTTGTCGTTGATAATTCAAGGTTCTTGTAGTAGCTCCTAAGCCGGTCCCTGTTTACTTTATTGGAATGGTGATTTGATACAGAGGAACGAACTTCATAGATGGCTGTGGATGAATTGAGCAAGTCTGTGTGGAGTAGAGAGCAAGATATAGCATTCGAGAATGCCCTGGCAACCTACCCTGAGGATTCCTCCGATAGATGGGAGAAAATTGCTGCAGATGTTCCGGGGAAGTCCTTAGAAGAGGTAAAGCTTCACTATGAGATCTTGACTGATGACATTAGCAGGATCGAGTCTGGCTGTGTTCCTCTACCTTGCTACAACTCCGACAACTCCACGGGGCATGATGGTGATGAAGGAACTAGCAAGAAAGGTGTCAATCTTGGACACTCCAACAATGATTCAAATCTAGGAAAGTCTACTAGGGCAGATCAGGAGCGTCGAAAGGGGATTCCCTGGACAGAGGAAGAGCACAGGTTTGTAGTCCTTTTGGGTATTCTCTGTTTTTCTAATACCATCAGTGTTTTATAAAGCCTTGTTCTTGTTGTTCAGCCTTAGTTCTCTATTTTTCTAATACCATCCTTGTTTTTCAAAGCCTGTGTTCTTGTTATTCAGCCTTACTCGGATTTAATGGTTCGTTGGAGTTTAACTGGCTATGATCCTAAAATGTCAACTTATAAGAGAAATACCTGAAGCTCATATGCTGGTTTGCATTTTGATAATTGACCTGTGTGGGATAGCAACATGTTTTACTTTAATCTTGGTGCATACAAGCAATAATGGCAATTAAAGGCTATTTTGTTTTCTCAAATGCCCATTTATTGTTTGTAGCCCATTTGGATGGGTGAACTTGAACAAAACAGGTGGACTTTACTAACCTAATAAATTTGGTTGAACCTAAGTATATATTTAAAAATGTATTTTGGATCAGGGTGAATTCCCTAAATAGGAATAAAAAAGTTTTGAAATTCCAAAATAGGAGTATCATGTTTTTTATTCCTTGAATAGGAGTAAATTTTTGCCAAGTTTGGCATTACTAGGCTTTAAAACATGGCAGTTTTTTCCAAACTTGGCAGATTACTCTTATTCAGGGAATAAAAAACATGATACTCCTATTTTGGAATTTCAAAACGTTTTTGCTCCTATTTAGAGCAATTTCTATTTGGATTATTATTAGATTAGCCTAGAATGGAGTGAAAGTTTATCTGAAAGAAGGTTAATCTATAAAATTACTTATAAAAATAAATTAACCACAGAAAACTGTGAATCGGAAGTTCTCCAAAACTAGGTCTGTGGAGGTTTTCCCAAGTTCTCCTGCTTATGCATAGATTGTTGGGAGACCAATTTTTTTTCATAACAAACGAGCTAAACCTATAATAACACCTAGAATTACTCAGTTCACCTCCAAACAAACAGACTTACAGACCATTAGGGGTTGTTTGAATGGAGGGGAAGACTTTGGACGGATAAGGCTGTCTTGATATGTATGTGTATTTGAGATTCCATGCAGATTAAAAGAATGACATAAAATTTGATCGTATAGATTTCAACCACTCTTTATGCCTTTTAGGAAACATTTTATTCAGATATCTGTTACACTATGATACAGACTAAGCCATTCCAAAGCCTTACCCTCCATACCCCTATGAAACTCTCCATCCAAAACAGACCATTTGGGATGAACTCTTTGTAATTTCAGTTCCTAGCTTGTTAGTTGTTACACCGTTATCCATAAGCTTCTCCTGATAACAGTAGGATGCCCCATCTGAACTTTATCATGTCCAGGGTATAAATACTAACTGCTCAAAGAGTCAGACGGGAAAAATTATTTAGCAAGGGGAAATTGATTTAGTTGTACCAGGTCTTCTGGCCTGAATTTGGTTTTCAATTGATTCTATATACTGCATATCTAGGATGTAATATCTCTCTCTCAGTACACTGTATACATTCTCGCTTTCTTTCTTTCGTCATCCTGCTTGTATTTCTTGTCTAACGTAATGCTTTAGTGTTGACTTTTCTATGCTTTGATTCAAAGATGCATAGAACTTCTGTGCACTCAACTGTGCTTGCACGATACAAAAAGCAAGTCTATGTGGACCTTGTTTGCCTCATAAACAAAATTTATTACCCTTTTACAATAGGTTCACCTGCTTTTCTTTCTGTAGAAACTTATTTGTTTACATTTTAAGAAAAAGTTACCATCCAAATGGCAGACTTGTGCTACAAGGATAGGGTTTTGTGAGCGAATGAAAGAAAACATCAATGTTTCCTCTATTTCCTATTTGAGATGATGAAAATTTCTTCATCTACTGGGAGAAAGTAAACAACTTTGCTTTTATTTATTTTCAATTTCCATAATGACAAACACAGTTCGATTATGGGTGGAATATAGTCAACATTAGCCTGAAATATGTTTACCTTCCATGGAAAGTGAATGTCAAGGGAGAAATTTTAAGCGTTTAATATCTCGTTTGAAAGTGAAATAAATTATAACTTTATGCTGAAGATTGCTTCATCCCTATGGAAACACAGTCTTCAATCTCACACTGGGGATAAGTACCTCTTTTCTTAGATAACTGAAGAAGTTACGGAGACCTATCTTGGGCACTGCTCCTGAACGGATCATCTCAAAAATGTTATGGATTTATCAACTATCTTGGCCAGATGCTTGAATGCTATTAATGGAGTCAAGATATGTAGTTGCATAAAAGCATTTTTTCCTTTTTCTGGATTTATGTGCAATTCAGTTATGTGTAACTGTGTAAGGTGTAGTTCGATAGTCCCCTTAGAAGTATAATATGGTAATAGTATTTTCACTTTCATTCTTAAGTGACCTGCTTGTTACCAAGATGAAGTGCAATCCAGAACTGATCTGCATTGTTGATCAGTAGTAGTTGATCCATTTTTTTTTCAAACAGGTTATTCCTTCTGGGATTGGACAAATATGGGAAGGGTGACTGGAGAAGTATTTCGAGGAACTTTGTTGTGACGAGAACACCTACACAAGTAGCAAGCCATGCCCAGAAATACTTCATTCGTTTAAACTCTATGAACAAGGATAGGAGACGAGCTAGCATTCATGACATCACCAATGCTAATGATGGAGATGCACCAGTAGTGCCCCAAGTAGGACCCATTACTACTGGACACACTAACGGAACTGCCACATCTGGAAAGTCCAACAAGCAACCGGCCCTAGCTCCTGCTCCCCCTCCCCCTCCTACTCTTGGAGTTGCTGCTATATATGGCGGAACAACTATTGGACAGCCAGTAGGAGTACCACTTGTTCCTGCAGTCGCCACACCAATGAATATCCCGCCACATGCTCACATAGCTTATGGAACACCTACCATCCCTGGACCAGTGGTGTCTGGTGCTCCTATGACCTTGCCTGCAATGCCTCATACATCTACCCATAGGTGAATCATTTTCTCATCTGACATCGGTACAAACTGAAGCGAATAGCCGTTTCTTTTTTCTTTGGGGGGGGGGGGGGGGGGGGGCATCGACATTAAGACATCATAAAATAACTTATTATGGTGTCACTGAGAGACCCACCCTTCGGTAGAATTCTTGCTTTCTGTAAAAGTTGATATGAGTTGTTTTAGAGATGTTGCTTTCATCTTTGTAGGCAGCCAGTGATATGGTAGCACTTAGTTTAGGAGAGTGAAATTGTTGCCTTCAAGCGGGATATTCTCACATGAAAGTAGCTGTACACTCGTACAGCACTTGTGATCTCTCCTGGGAAGTGTATAGCCATATCCAGCACCTGTGTATTCTATGGAAACCGCCTGTGGGCTGTGGCGGGCTGAGTTTAGATGGTCATATGCTAATAGTCCATTCCTGGTTTTGTTTATTTATTTGCTTGTATTTGATTTGTTTCATCATATTCAGGCTGAGAGAGGATCCCAACAACTGGGGTGTGTCGTGTGTCTCTTGGCATTTCATGCTTTGTCATGTGAAATATAACATAATCAAAAGTTAGCTTATTTTTGAAAGTGGAATGATCCCATGCAAATAGCCAAATAGTTAGGACACTAAAAGTTGAATTAATGATAAATATAAAATTTATAAATTTATCAGAAGGAAGAATTTAGTTTTGTTACTAAACACGTGGATGGGTCCTTTTGGAGGATTGGCCCATCGTTGTGTGATTTTAGGCAATCCCAGTGAAACCATTAAGATGGCCGAATTTCGGTAAAAATATACAAATCTGATTTAAATCGACAAAACCTGACTGAAAGTAATTAGACCAAAACCAATAAATTCTAGTTTAACACTTTAATGCAGAATTTGTTTTTTGGAGATTTCAGAATTAAGATCAATCAAATCCGGGAACGCCCATAGCTTCTATAAGATCACAGTGTACACGAGTAATTGATTACTAGTAGAATTAGAACTACTGTGATTAGATCTCTTAACACATTGTAATTTATAGCCTTTCTTGTAAACAAACTTACCTTTTTCTCACCTTTTTTTATTTGTTTTATTTTTATTTTTGGGCAAAACTTTCTAACGTATTATAGTATCTGTTCTGTTAAGGTCAACATCCTTGAACCGGGATGAGGTTCGAACCTGTAATCTCCTCTTTGGAAGTTTCTGATGCAATCAAACCACATGGTACTTTTTAACTTTTTCTCACTTTCACTAGACTACATTGTATCCAAAGTGATACACCTTAGAGCATCTCCAATCCTTGGTTGTTGACATTAAAAATTTTATGACACATGTCAATAGATGTATGGAATGTCTAACCACATAGGATGAATGTCAAAATCCAAAAATTGAAATCCTCAAAAGCCTCCCCAACGCAGCAAGTCGAGATCATGCTGTTTTGTCCAATTGTAATTTAATTAATTCAAATTTAAGCCTTCCGTAACTACTCAGCCTGTATAACTGGCTTTTGAGAATGGGAAAGTGGGTTTGAAAGTGTTGACATAAAATTTTGACAACTCAGCATCACTTATGCGAATGAAGAGAGTATTGAAGCAAAAAAATTGACACACTTTCAAAGGAGATTACCTGGCAACGTTTTTTTTACTGTTAAAAGCATCCCATCAGAGATGCTCTTATTTTGGTCAAAATTTTGGTTTATTTACTAAAATGGTGACAGTGTTTTTATCCTCATACAGTTGCAGTTTTTTAGTATTGTTGCTTTTGGTATCAATACCGTTGTCGAACATGTCACACTGAGTGGTGGAAAGAAATTCTCAATTTTTTCGGATGCATTAAGAAATAAATAAAAAATAATGCGGACTAAGGATGATTTTACTTGGATTATAATTCCTCCCAGATCAGATCAGACCAGATCAGACCAGACTTGGATAGTTATAAAAATACAAAGAAACCAAACCAAACCAGACCAGACCAGACCAGCAAATTACAGTCCAAGTAAAAACATCCTAAACATTGGCAATAACAATAGTGGAGCAACGGGGGCGACTGGCCTGGGTGAGAGTAGGGATGGACTTGGGCCGGGTCAATCGGACCGGAACCGGCCCGAGCCGGTACTATTTCAAACCGGCACGGCCCGCAGCCCGGGTGCGGGCTGGGTCTACTATACCCGAACCGGATTTTCTTGGGCCGGGCTTCGGGTCTCCAAAAACTGAACCGGACCGGATCGGGCCATTTTTTGTTATTCAAATTCTATGGGAGGTAAATGGGTTGGGCTGAGTGTTTTAGAGGGATGTGGGGGTGGGGGGTAGGAAGTAATTAAAAAATAAAAAAAAAGTATTCGGCCCGACTCGGACCTAGTAGCTACCCGGGCCGATTTCGGGTCTCAACAACCCAAAAAATGACGTGTCAGCTATGCCGATTCTAATTGTAATTCTATATATGTATATATATATATGTAGTGAAGCTGTTATATTATGCAATATAACAACTTCACTTATATAATGAACTGTTCTCGTATATAATAACTAGATGAAGTACCCGTGTGAATAAGTAGGGGTGGATTCGGGCCGAGCCGGGGCCGGGTTGGGCCTAGGCCCGAGCGGCCCGCCGGTTCTAAATAGGTGGGCCCGAGACCGGCCTGGGTAGCCACCGGGTCCGGTCTGGGTCCAGGTCGGGCCTCAGGTCAATTTTTTTTCCTTTTCCCAATTAACCCCCCTCCCACCCCAAACCACCCCAAATGGCCCAAAATACCCAGCCCAACCTGAAAAGTTAAAAAAATTTGAAAAAAAATAAAAAGCCCCGAACCGAGCCCGAACCGGCCGAGCCAGTTCGGCTTTTGGGTGACCCGAGCCCGCACGGGATCCCCGGGCCGGGCCTACCCGGACTGGTCACTAGCCGGGCCACCGGGCCGGCTGGTTCAGCACAGTGCTGGTTCCGGCCCGAGTCCACCCCTACGTGCGATGCACGGGATATATCCAGAATTGAATAATGATTTAATGAAAAATTATGTTTTATATGATGGTACATAATGTGTCATTTTGTCAAATAAAAAATACGATAATGTTTATGTGTTGTTACATTTATTAATTATATACGTAGTAGTTGTACACTTGTACTATAATGAAACATTGGATCGTAAAAAAAATCGGATAAAATTAAAAAGTCAAATGAAAATTCAAGTAAAAAAAGACGATAAAGTTTATGTGTTGTTTGGTTTTTTTGGAAGCAGGTGGCTTTTTTTTAAATACATCAACCGTTGAAATTAGACCAAGGAATTCCAAGTGTTGCAGAAATGGATCTGTTAAACTTGTTATGAAACTTGATAGCCTTTTGTAGGTAGGGCTGGTAGGTTTTCGCTTCTGGGTTTGAATTTTTAAATTGCTTGAGAGCCACCGCCAGTTTATGTGGGGAGTCGAATCTTTGATCTACTGGATACATAAAGTAGTCATCCTCAGTTTGTGGTCTTTTGGGGTGACTTTTCGTGATCATTGGATCAGAGCTATATCCCACGTGGTAGAATAGTTGTGCTTCTTCTGTAGTTGCTGAGTTTGTGTATTTGTTTCTTCTTCTTTGTACCTGTGTAAATCCTTCGTTGTTTTCCTCATTGAATTCTGTATGACCTGAAACAGAAAAGGTTAGCATTTAGGTGTCCTCAGAAGTAGTTTCATCACTGGACAGTATCGGGACATGTGTAGTAACTGCAAAGTCAATCATTGGATCAAAGAGGATCTCATCATTTCCATTTCGAGCCTCAGACATATTTTTGCTAGCATCACAGGCAATCGGATGATGAATTCCTCCGGTTATATTAATAAGAAAGAACATAAGCAGGATACAATCAAACAAAGAACTCATAATCTATCGTCCGTCCTTGAACCAGACTTAGAATCTGCCACCTCTAACGAAGCAATCAAATTCGTTGATCCTGAATGGGGCTTACTTGAGCCAATGACTAGTAAATTAGGTTCCTCATCCCCTGTCCTAAGTTCTAGAGTCTTGACAAAACTAAAAACGACAACAAACAAAAACACCCGATGTCCAGCACAAGAATCAATCAAAATAAAAACAGGTCTAAAAGTAGTGGAAACTATGATTCTCCTCATGCACCAAATCTTCAAAGGTTTTGGCGGGTTTGGGATCTCCAGCTCGCCTCCTCCCAGTTTTTTATCCTTCCAGAACCATAGCATCCTCTCCTGATTGCTCCAGCTCTTGCTTTTGTGCTTCCCATTTCCGTCTCCTCTTCTGCTCTCCCGAACCACCATTATTATCCGTTGCATCCGCGATCTTTGATTCATCCCCTACTTCCTGGTTCTGGATTCTCATATAGTGCTGCCCTCCCTAATTATCAACGGGTTTTATTTGCATCCCTGTTTGGTCTCTGTTGGGTGTGTTTCGGAAAAAACGAAGGAATATTAATTAAATAAAATTAATTAATAAACAAAACAGCTTAAAGAAAATAGAAAATAAGATGGAGCAGATTTTAGCAAGAGCTCGTGCTACGCACGATGTCCTTAAAACGTATTCGTCGCCTCCCACGGTGCTAGGAGCGTTGCAACGACTGTTTCCCAGGATACGGTGGCTAACGAACGATCGTTTGAGCACACAAACGAAAGTTCCGGCGAACTGGAACACAGTAAGAACACTTAGGAAATTTGGGAGTAGCTGGAAGTGTTTTTCGCTCAAGAAAACGTGATGAATGTATTTTGTTTTGTTGCAAACCACATGCCAACTATTTATAGGAGGATTTGTTGTGTGTTAAATGGGGTGTTAATGGACCTGAACGTTGGACATCAATGACCAGTCCATTGGGCATTGAATCGTCCATAGACTGTCCATTTAACGCAGCATTAAAAGAAGAACGTTGGGCATTTATTGTTGTAATGGACCAGAAGACCTTCTCTTGCAAACAGAAAGCCTCGAGCGTCTCTGTTGCGAACAGAAGACCTCGAGCGTCTCTGTTGCGAACAGAAGACCTTGAGGGTCTCTGTTGCGAACAGAAGACCTCGGACGACATTCGTGTCCGCAGGTCGCCCGAGAACACGAGTCGCGGTTTTTCTTCTCCGTTTCAGGATTTGATCGGCACCCCCCCTGCGCGTAAGAGAGAGCCTTTACCCTTAGGAATCTTAACTCCTTAAAATAGGCTTCCCTTTATAAGGGGGTGAAAATCCCTTGAGTTTTTCGGTGTGGGATAAAACACACTAGAAACCCATCATTTTCCCAGTTTTTCCATTTCAACGAGTGTACTTCGAGAATCAGTTTCTCATTCACCCGTTATCCGTTTTGAGTGTACCATATATCGAATTGTAGCCCTTAACTAGGACAATCCGAAACCACTTTGACCCGACCCAAATCGGAAGTGGACCCCACTCAAATAATTGCCCCAAAATGACCATTTAATGCAATTTTTAACACATTTTTCCAACAATCCCCCACATGAATGAAAATTGATTTTCGAGACTTAAAAAGACACGAAGATAGGAGGACACGTTGTGTTCACCGGATGATCCTTGCATACGGAGAGGTAGGTTTTATCCTTTGAACCTTCCGTTGTAAAGACACATTTATTTACTGGCTGTCTAGTAGACTCGATGTCCTTGAACTATACTGCC